CACAGTTGTGACTTAATATACAGGAGAATCACAGATTTAGAAAATAAAACGCCAACAATATTGAACAGTAAAATTTTAAAAGAGAAAAATAACATTTGATAGTAAAAGAAATACAGCAGGATCTCGATTAACCAAATCGCGATTATCCGTAATCTTGATTAAGCGGAGTATTGGTTATCAAGATTAATTAGGATCCTAATTATAAAGTTTCTTTCCTACTAATATACGTTCGATTCGAACGATTTATTTATATTTATATATTTGAATTTCTTCTCACAGTATTCCGCTGTTTCTTATCACTATATAGGAAAAACTCAACAATCATATGTATATTATAAACAAATTTTGTATAGGAAAAGACATTTCTTTGTTATTTTTCTTCGAATCTCTGAACCTTTGATGCTAAATCTCGATTTATCCGAACTGTTTGTCTTTTGATTACGCTAATTAATCAAAGTCCTAATAATGAAAGACAGTAATTTTTAAGATAGGATAATTAACCAAGTCAGAATCATGTCCCTTTAGTTTATCATCCTTCCACGATACGTGACTCAATAATTCAGATTTTATAATTGTCAATTCTTATATTAATAAAAACCATTGAAACACTCTATGCAATTTAGACTAGTGAAAATTCATTGTTGATATTATAAATTCGGCAAATTATCTAACTTGGATTTTTTCTATGAATAATTAAGTTTTCCTAATTTTAATATTTTTTTTTTACTAGTGTGGAAATTCATTGTGTCGCTTATTCTTGTTTTTCATTAATCTTGATAGCTATTGATAATAATCTTCTCGTGAAAATAAATTCCATCGAGAAACAAGATAGGTAGTTTGAAAACATTAATTTAATTTAAAGAAATTAAGTTAAGCAAGAAATAAACAATGGTCATTAAAAATAAACTATGGTCACAACTATCCATCATTTGTATGGAGAAAATTCATTTCAATTTATAATTGAAAATACAAGTAATATATTTTAAAAAAAATATTAGTATTATCATTAGTGAAAAGTTCATAAAAATCTTACAAAAAATATAAAGATAAAAAATATTGATAGTGAATATTGAATGCTTTAAAGTGTTCTATTATCCGGAGAAAATATTTGGATAAAAATTGTTAAAGATATTAAAATTTACCAAAAATAAAAGAGATCCAATTAGTCAATTTATTCAATATATTTTTAAAATATTTTTTATTGAGTTGCAAAAGGACTTGAATTATAAAAATGTATTACCTTATATCATTGACTTAGCAGTAGGTTTGTTATCAATATTCTTGCTATCAACATCCTGTACAATATGTAGATAAACATTGTTATATTTTTAACATCTGTTCAAAATAAATTTAATATTAAAAAGAAAAAGATTATTATATATATTAATAATAAGTAAAAAAATTTTATTATCTTAGTAATAATTATATTATTAAATATTATAATAATTAAATTATTACTACTGTTGCTATAAAGAAGAAAAATATTAAGTATAATGATTCCGTAAGTACATTCTAAACACAAACAAATGAAATAAATAATTTTATTATAATACATTATCTATCATTAAATAACAAAATTAATTTTACTTCGTTTGAGCAAATATTGAAAGCCCGAATACCTATTTTTAATATTTTTCCATCATCTGTAACAATTACTTTTATCAATCATTTACGAAATCCCAAATCATAATTTTTACAACACATATATACGTTGTATATATCGAATCAAGTTTGAAAATCAATATATATCGAATCACCATTTTAAATTTAAAATTAACTTGATAAGAATATAAATTATAAATTGAAATTGAATTTTGCGTGTTCAAACTTCGTTACATCCTATCTGTCAATCTCTGGAGAAAAACTGAACTCGATCAACGCTAATTAATCCGTTATAAAACTATGTAATACACAATTCATAATTTATTTATTTTACGTAATTATAAGGTAACTAACAATGAATTTTTTTTTCAAATTTTCATTTTCCTACATTACTACATAAATTAATGCATAATCGTTCACTTAGATATTTGGCATATTGGTACTGGGCATTGGAATTTGGACGCGAATTCGACTTCATGATTACATGGATGTAAGCGCAGAGAACAGTAGGGCAGCTTTATTGGCATTGGCTTGTTTGGGCGGTATTTTAACTTTGACAGCGACACTTGCCTGCTGTTGTACAACCCACGGCCATCCGGCCCTCTTGTTTTTGGTAAGAGAATTATAATTTATTATTTTTTATCAGTTTGCATTCATAATGAATTCTCTCATGTTATTAAAAAAATAATAACTTATATATATTACACATAGAGATATTCGCATAGTGAGATTTCTTTCCTTCT